TGACTCTATCGGCCAGGAACTGAAGACAGCTGCGACCGAACCAGCTTTTAATTGGATTTTCACCCACACATCGACAATCACAACTCCATGGCAATCTTACTTCAGCTTCCGGTGAAGCCGATTTACGAACCCCTACCACTTAAAGTTTAATAAGAAATGAAAGATCTAATTGATTAGTTAAGCATTCTTCAAAACCTAACCTTTTAGCAAATTTTTGATTTGGCTATTTACTTTTTTATTTATTTGTAAATTTCATGCATCACAAATAATGGCTTCATTTTGAGTTTGGTATCTCAGCTATCGGAAACCTGATTTCCATCGAGGTGCACCAGTTTCGACCGATTTTGACATTGGATTGATAAAGAAACAACCCACAATAATTTGAAGCAAAGGCTCCTTTTTGATGTCAATTTCATTTCGCCGTGTTTCTCAAAATACCTTTTTAGCCTAGTCTATGGCTCCGAGATCATAGCATCCATGGGATTCGTACCATGCGCATGCGAGTTATCTCACACGTCCCACTGTCTTACACAAACATGGCGGACAAGGCGAGGAAACCCCTTCTCAGTGCAACCCCTTTCGTGGGCAATTTTGTTGCGCTAAGCAACCGAGTATTTCTCTATTATACTCAACAAGCTGCCGATTTTTGTTGCTAGTATCAAATTTATTTTAAAGAATTTAGAAGTTTTGTTAACGAAAACATCTTAAAAAACGAAGGAAACAAAGAAATTATCTTCATAAACTAATAATGTGAAGTTATGATGTTCATTTTATTTATGATCTGTGCATGTGTGCAATTTTTCAGCCACCTTATCCTACACTGGGCTTTTCCATTAGATTATAGCATCTGATTGATGTATAGGATATTTAATAAAACTTACCACTGCCATTTTCATAGAAATACATACTCCAGATTCTGCTCTCAAGGGCTAAAGGTGGTTTATTTTGGGGAATTCCATTTTTCTTTATATCCCGAGTTCACAAGCCTCCCAACAGACATGAACGCTTAAGAAACGTTCCGGTGGGCTAAACGGGACTTTCAGGAAAAAATGCAAAAAATATTCAGCTGCATTCTATTGGCACGTAGACCTGCATGACAGGAGTCGACAGATTATAACCATCATGAAATGGAGTACAGTCCAAAATGGCCGACATCCATTTGAGAATGCTGCAAATATGAGGTATTTTATAACTCATTTTTTCAGACTCTGTAACTTCTCCTTTCATTAACCCTCCGCCAGATAACATTTTCGTGAAGAATTGCATTTTGTATAAGATTGCATAATGAAGAGATCGGAAAGTCGATTATACCAGAAGACGACGGCTGATTTCCAATGGCCCATGAGGCATTCTCCTTCGTTTCGGGGGTAAAAGGGCTAGGCTTTCGTGCGTTCTGCCAACGAACAGCATCATCAAAGCCGTAGCGCATTCTTGAAAAAACTTGAAGCTAATACCAAGTCAAGAAGATCAGCCATCACTACCTTATATGCCATTCTCTTTAACAACCAAAATTTGGCATAAAATATGCACATGGTTATAGATAGACATAAAATAATGTGATCTTCATGTTAATCTAAGCGATTTTATATTACGATTGAATGGGTTTCAAAGTTACCAGTATAGTTTGAATTGGAGCTATGGTCACCCTAGGCTGCATAAGGTTGTGAAAGACGATACATGAAAGCAGTTATTATTCAAGATCCACTAGTAGATATGAAACGCTACCGTCCTGCACTGTCGCGGTTCGAATCCCGCTGAGGGTGTTGATAAGACCAATGCGAGGTCGAA